GTAAAACTGCATTAAAGAGTTGATGGAGAAAGGGAAGTAATATGGTCAGTGAGTGTTTTAAGTGCTCATTAAGTATCCATCTGGGCCTGGAGCTTCCCATTTGGTAGGTTATGGATAGTTCCAGTTATTTCTTCTTTTGTAATTTCATCATCCAGCCAGTCATTCATCTCATCTGCTATAGGATTTGTTTGTAAACAGTCTAGAACAAACTCATTGAAACATTCATCAATATCAAATTTGGTTTGATTAAGAAAAGTATTGAAGTGATTATACCATTCCTCAGGGGAAACACAATTGTTCACAGTTTGGCTCACTCTTGAGGCTCTCTTTAGGCATTTCCATAAGTCTATAGTGTTGTTCGATTGAAGTGGTAACACACTGGATATATCATTAAAGTCTTTTTTCACCCTACATAGTTCTTTGAAACGATTTTTTTCTTTATTATATGCCAAACGGTCTTCCTCACGGGTTGAATTTCTCCATATGTCTAAAAGTTTGAATTTATTTTTCCTCACCTTCTCGCAATCATTGCCCCACCATCTCGGTTTAGTTTCGATTTGTCCACCATCAATAAAGAACTTAACTGCCATGTTACTTGAGCTTTCAGCATCTGAAATCAACTGAGTAAGTTGGCTCACAGCGTCGTTTATTTCACCATTATCTAGGTTTTCTACAAAACATTCCAGAAAGTTAGTACATAACACATCATTTAGTTTGGTATAAAAGGTTTCTAATGAACTGGGGTTCTATTTCATGTATTCTTAATGATATTATTATGATCTTATTGCATGTAATTAAGAGTTTTAACCAATCATAATTGTCCATATGTACAGTCTGAAAAAAAACCCAAAAGACTCTAAGTGAAAACATTCCATCCTATTTTCTCATTTACGCAAGTAATAATAGTTTATTTTTGCGAAATGTTAAGTTATTCAAAATGGAACTATGAAGAGCGCTGTTTTTTTATGATGTACAAATTATAAGAGTGATCTTGTTTTCCTTTCAGGCTTATGTTGTGTTGGGTCAGTTTTTGTTACTCAAGAAAGATGAAGATTTATTTAAAGCTTGGTTAAAAGATTCATGTGGTGCCAATGCTAAACAACAGAAAGATTGCCACACATGTTTAAAAGAATGGTGTGATAGCTTTTTATAAAGTGCTCTGTAGCTCTTTCTGTTGTGT